GGGACAGTCTTTTGGTTCAAGAGGCGATAATCAATGCAGAGGCGGAGCATCCCGTCTTTCTTGCGAACGCAGATCACTGGAGCTGTATAGGCAGACTTAGACTTTACAATCCAACCCTTCATTAGTAGGTCCTGTATATCGTCTTTGACCTCTTTGAACAATGGTTTTGGGATGGCAGAATAAGCTCTCTGTACTGGAACCTGATCCTTAAGAGCGATTGACATCTGCAAGCTAGGAATACATCCAATGTCCTCATTGTCTCTTGCAAAAGCAGCTGACTCTTGATGTAACATTTCTTTGACCTTCTCTTGTTGGTCAACACTGAGGTGGCTGAAGTCCACTGGAGGCTGCCACAAGTCTGTAGTCATTGTGGGGGCTGCTGTTGTGGCTGAGTTTACCGATGTTCTTATGGTGGGGTTCTCTAATGAGTCTGTCTCAATTACCTTGGCCACCGTCTGAATGCTGCCTAAAACTGTTTTCCTTTGTAAGGTGACAGAATGATTTGTGTTATTTTTCACTAATATTGTAATATAGGATTTCTTTGAGTTCTGCACTTCTGAAATACCTCCAATGGCCAAATCTGTCAGATGTGCACTGTTTTCCTCTGGCTCAAACAGCAGGAGTGGGTCGGACAGGTCAATCACTGACGGGACCGGGCACCTTATCCAGACCACCTTTCCAGCAGGAATGAAAGTGTCATTTGTGCCAGTCCGCAACTGCCCCTGATGCAAAGAGGTTTTACAGGTCTGAATGGAGCTCACTAGGCACTCAGTGTTCTCAGTAGACACTGACATTGAATCAGAGATGAAGGTGATGAGAGCTGGGACTAATTCATTTGGGCGACTTTGGACCACCTCCTCCAACACATTGAATCCAAGAAGTGGCTGACAGAGAGGGGTACTGCAGATGAGGAAAGGTGCCATGATGGGTTCACTGAAATGACTGTTTCCTTGTATGCACACTGTGATGGGGATCCAACCATCAAATGGGAGCATGCTTTCATTCACTGTGTAGATTTCCAGCTCTTCCTTGTCATCAAATACTTCACTAAGAAGCCTGGCTGGTATATCTAAGTGTTTTTTTCTTTCCAGCTTCTGTCAACCATACTCACTTGAGCTCCTGTGTCCAACAGTGCCTTATCCTTTATCCCATTAAAGCTACATTGCACAAGGGCTTTAGGACCTATGAGCTTAGCCAAATGTCTACTCTTTTGGCTTGGCAGGGAAAGGGGGAATTGGGTAACTATTTGCTTATTGTCTTTTTGTCTTAATTTTGTCCCATGCAACTTTGTTTCTTTGACACTTGAGCCTCCCTCTGTCTGCTGGGGTGGCCTCAGGTGGGACTCAGGGTGAGACCCAGTCACTGCTTGTCCCGTGGCAGAGACCGGCTCAAGTTTTCCTGCCGCCTGGGTTTCCTCAGGCAACCCACTGCCTTATGGCATTCTTCCCCACAATAGAAACAATAAACACAATCTGCGAGGCTCAGTTCCTGGCATTTAGCACAGCAGTATGATTTGGAGTTTTTCTGGCTCACTGGGCGGTGATGGTAGGTCATTGGTTGTAACTGCTGCTGCAGTATTCCCACTGCACTCATTAACATGCTTACTTTGTCAGTTAACTGGAGGGGTACATCAACTTCTGGTTTCTTGTCTGAATTATCTTTCTTTGAACTCTTGTCTTTAACAGCTGTATTTTCACACTGTGCACTTTGATTGTTTTTTTGATGCACAACTGTTCCCAGTCACCTTTGCCTCTCATGTTCAGTATTTGTTATCTTCATCATTTGTTTCAGTATGATCTCATCTGTCACATTGGTGTTTGAGAGGAGGGGCTTGAGTTCTCGACGCATGTCATCATATTTATGGCTGAGACCCTGGTATATGGTGTGAAAGAAAATATCTTGGACAGTACTTGCATTGTACTTCACTTCAACATCAGCATATTTAGAAGCAAACATAATTTGTTGTTTTAGGCCTATAACTCTATACAGGAACTGTTGTGGTGTTTCGTTATCACTCTGTTTTGTGCACACGAGCTCTTGGAACAGTTCTGTATTACTGCGCCCACGTAAATGAGACTGTAGGAAGCATTTAAGTTCAGTTATGGTCAAATCATCTTTGTGCATGAGCATATCTTTAAAATACCCTGCCCTAATGACTTTTAGGACACCTCGCACAACCTCGGCCTCACTGAATCCTTCTTTCACACCTTCATCAATTTGTTTGCATATGCTGTTGTAGCTTATGTCTGAATTTTGATCACTGATCTGTCCACCTTGAATCTTGAGCTCTCGATGTAGCCGTGACAGGTCTTGGAGAGGGATGGCTTCATCCTGGCTTCTATAGTGGTGTTGTTCTGCTCTGTGGTCACTGGGCGTGTCAAGCTGCAATGATGGTGTAGATGTGGGCTGAGATGAAGGTGTAGGATTAGTAATATACTGAACGAGTTTACTGCTCTGGATGCCAGGGTCAATGTTTTGTGATGCTTTACCATTACCAGATGTGGCATTAATGATTGGTGAATGGTTAGCAGCACTAGCTGTAACTGGATTATTGTCAGAGACACGGGTCAGAACATCACTATTATCATTGCTCACAATCGGATTACTGGTCACTGCATTCTCATTTAACTCTGGATTTGACACATTGTGACCCTTTTTTTCTACACTGAATCTAGTTTGAGCCATACGACTCTGGAACATCTCTGTCACAGCATCATTTAGCTGTAATAGGACTGCCATACCTGAACCCTCAGACCTCACCAAAGCTTCACTGTTCATGAAATCTACAATGAACTTGAAGCAACTCTCTTCATCATCAACCAGAAGCTTGGATGAGTCCATCCCTTGCACAGGACAAATACTCTTGGCCAATCAGAAAAGTTCATCAGCTGTGAGAAATAGTAAGCTCTTCTTTAGGGTCCACACTAAACTCTTCCTCTCATAAATCCGCCATGACTCCTTTTCCCTTTTCTGTAATATAGGTCTCTGTTCCAGGTAACTCAATCACCCACGGCTCCCGGTCTCGTTTCTTGATGCTGCAATGCGCCTCACACTCGTCCCAGAGTTTCGGTCAGTCCATCTGAGTCGACAGCTCTCTCGGCACTTCAACTGGATGACTATGGCTGCATTGGTCGCCTGCGCATCAGTTGCCTCGTCCCCGTACGGGCCACCATAAATCTGTAACAGGTACTGCAAAGGCAGCACCGAGTCAGCAGATAAGTTTCCTGAAATACAGGCAGCTAATCATGAGACAGGACAACAAGATGGCGTAGCTTCTGGAATCTCTGTGCTTATGAAAGAGCTTGAGAGAAAGACACAGACAACCGCTGCACCATGCTGCCCCCTGCTGGTTGGGTTACACCACACTATTCTTGCAATATATTTAGATCTGAAACTTAACACGCCTAAAGATAAGAAAGACAAAATACTTCTAAACAACCATTTACAATGGGAATAATTTTGTGCCTGTCACACATCCATCCATTTATCCATCTTCTATCCATCTGTTTGTCCATCTGTTCATCCATCCATCTGTCTTTTACCCTCTTCTTCCTTTTCGGGTCAGGGGGGTCACTGGTGCCCATATCCAGCAGTCACTGTGAGAGACACCTTGGACAGGTCTCCAGTCCATCACAGGGACACATAGAGACAAACAAGACAAACAAATATCCATCTCACTCTCACCTAGAGACAATTTAGAGTTACCAGTCAGACTAATATGCATGTTTTTGGTTTGTGGGAAGAAACTGGAGTACCTGGAGAAAACTCACGGAGAGAACATGCAAACTCCACCCAGAAAGGCTTCCAGCCGGGATTTATTCTGGCGATCTTTTTGCTGAGAGGCAGCAGCTCTACCAACTCGGCCACCGTGCCGCCCAATTTAGGTTTTAACTGATGGATGAATAGACAGTGTGATAAGAGAAAGTGGACATTTTGTTGCGTTTGCTGCACAAACATGACGTCAGAGACATTTATGCCAATAGTTCAAGATAAAACGTGGCGTGAACTGAGCAGAAAAGGTTGTTCATTTACATGTAAAACATTGATAAACTAAGTTTTCCGTTTCTGCAGTTTCTTTTTCAAAATTAACTAATTAACAGTGTTAAAGACGGGAGCTGGCTACGGGCCACCGGACCCGGAAACCACCTCCAGCCCACGTCTTTTACCCTGGCTCGAATCTCCCTCAGAAGTGGCAACTCACATTATCAATAAATCAAGGAAACGTCAATTAAGTTTTATCAATTATTTTTTAAAAAAGGCAGGAAAAGGTTACAATTTACAGCGCTGGACTCTCTGGTCTGTGACGCGTTCACAGACCTGGAAGAGCCCTGATGTTCCGTGTCATTACTCATTTATAGGGTCCTGGACTCCTCCTTCGTAGAAGGGGAGCTCAACCTGTCAGTGCATGAGGGGGCGTGGCTAAGTGTGATCTCAATGGATCTTATGTGATTCTGATGTGTTAGGAAATATGAGACGGTGCTTCAAAAGCCTTCCTACGTGATGTGGCAAGCAGATTAAACTCTATTCCTTGACTGATATTGAAATCCCAGGGAGACTCTTTAGAGCTGCTGGCCCAGTTTAACCCAGTCAGAACCGGGTCATAATTTCATTATAATCCCGCCTCTGAGCAGATCAAAACCATAGGACCAGTCTAGATAAGAAATATCCAACATCTCAATATCTCAATAACTGAAACTAACTTCACTCTTGTGATCACTTATTGTAGTAAATATTTTATTTATAAAAATGGAAGGAGACATTTGGGAAACATTTCCATCATGTTCCCCTCGTTCTTCTAACAGCACAGTGACGTTCTGGCTTCATGCTTACTCTGAACTTACTGAAGAACCCTCCATCTGAGAGGAATCACTGAGGGGACTAGAAACAAGCTCAGATATTTTTAATTTGACAACACATAGGTAAACACCAAATTAAAGTTTTATTCTGGTAAAGTTTCTTGTCTTTGATGACCTGATGTGCCTTTTACTGTTTTGTATCAGAGGTGGAAACCGTCTTCAGAACCCGACGTTCTTCGTTCAGACAGTTTCTGCCGCTCGGCTTCTCCACCGTTCGCCAGCGAGCTTCACATTCAGCCAGTCGTTTCTCCGCTGCACAACAACCTCTGCTGCTACGACAACCTGCTGGCTGAACATTTCAGCACACCAAGGTCAGCCGAGGCGCTCAGAATCAGAGTCAGTGCAACTTCTGCGCTGTTTGCATGAAGCATGATTCTAAAAGAAATGTGTCTCATGAAGTTTTCACCTGTTTAACACGTCACTTTCTGACTGACTGATGATAAACTCACATCAGAGACACCTTAAATCAGATGTAAGCATGTAAGAAGAGTCCTTCCAGTTTGTCCTGTTGTTCTGCAGAGTGGTTTCACAGGGAGACATCCTGACTGTACCAGCTGAACTCCATCCAGACCTGCTTGAAAACAATTCTGAGGGGATCTGCAGGTGCCACACACCCCTCCACATGAACAGCACTCTTATCTAGGCCTGTCCCGATAAACGATAAATCATATATATATCATATATTATCATATATCATGATAAGTGAAAATTATCAACCTCATTTTTATTTAAATGCTTTATCGTTTCTTTGTGTCTTTTTCTTTCTACTGAAGACACTGGATGACAAAAGGCTCAACTCCGGTGCTCTTCACTGACCCCTCCTTTTCTCTTTAAAATCTGTTAACCGTCCAAAATCACGTTTTTGGATCGTGAAAAGCAGATAAGCTGAGAAGCTAAGCTACGAGCTAAGCTAACAGGCCGACCTCGAAAAAAATCTCCGTCTTGTCGAAGCACCAAAAGTCACAGTTGAAACCGGCACCTTTGTGTAAAAAGTTGTTTTTCTCTACAAAAAGAAGCTGAGAACTTGTTTACTGATTTTTTAAATTAAAAGCTTTGTGTGAAAAATGCTATGCTAAAGAGCTCAAACCACACCAAGCGTCTGCCAATTTGAGAATCGAAGAGAAGAGACAGCCCATGTGATGACACGCTGCTGGCTCCCTCACTATCCATCCTTCGGTTCAAATAGTCTTATACTGCCATCCAGTGGTCGAAAAAAGGGACTACACACAAAAATTAACTAACATTTCTTCTTAAATTTGACAATAATTAGTAATTATTGTCAAATTTCCAACAATATTATCGTTTATCGCAATAACTTCTGAGACAATTAATCGCCCAGCAAAATTAGTTATCGTGACAGGCCTAGTCTTATCATCATTGTCATTAATTGTTGACACCTGTAAATGATGCGTCTGTGGTGTTTGGCCACTGCCAGGTGCCCGGTGTTGTACTTCAAAGTACAGAAAGTGTGTCCATCTGCTGCAGAGAGAGAAGTAGCAGCTCATCTGGCTGATCGAACACACACCTCTCTTTACTTGGTGAGCTTTCCCTGTCTCCACATGTTTGTTGTCCATACCAGTAAACAAGTAATCATAAAATAGAAATATATTTGTAGCTCGCAAAATGTTTGCCTCCCAAGTTTTTTGCAGCCACCTCACAAACACAGCAAAATAAAAATATTGCATCCTTTTTTTTACTACTGTAATTTCTGAACTATAAGCCACGCCCACTAAAAAAAGAATAAAAAAATGAATTGTACATGTATATAGTCCGCACTTGTATATAAGCTGCTAGTGTTCACGTTGTAGCATGAGATCTTTACGCAGAAATATATATTTTTACTTTTAATTAAATACGTACCAGTAACATAAATAAATATGTACAGTATTTTTTTTTCTCAACAGTGCTTCTAACATTGCTGGTTAAAATAATAATTAAAAAATACAGTAACCTACCAGGAAGTCATTGATCGCTATCTTCATCTTCCTCCTGCTTCACTATCTGGATCCACTGTCAGTGAAGCTACAGTTACTCTGCGGAGTAACTCTGCGGGGGTCCCCGCTTATGGGAAGGGGGGATTCCCCACCTCCCTGTTCTCTCCTCCCATCCCCGTTTCATTAGTCCACTGTGACCTGTTCATGAATTTTATTGGTCAGATTTTTCTTTAACCTTTATTTATACAGGTAGTCTCATTGAGCCACGAGGAGCCACCCCTCAAGAGAGACATGTATTGGGCAGCTCTTTGAGCGTCCAGGTGTGATGAGGCTAAATGTTTTGGTGGCATGAATCTTGTTAGCCCATCAAAAAAATTCCATAAATTAGCCGCAGTATTGTTTAAGCCACAGTGCTCAAAGCGTGAGGGAAAAAAAATAGCAACTTATAGTTTGGAAATTACAGTAATCATACAGCTTTAGTGTCGGTGAGCAGAATTTGTTTTCATTTTCTTTTTGTTAGACTTACTGGGTGCGAACTTATTGACTGAGTGTCTTCTCAGGGAGCGTCGACCAACAGCCCTGTGCCATTCTGTGTGGATGAAGGGTCTCTGTGGAGCAGCCTGTCTCCTGCAGGCCTCAACAAGACGGTGGACCTCATCAGCAGCAGCATCCTGCCTCACCTGCAGCACAGGTAACTTGTAATTTATATCTAAAATAGGGATGTGGAAAATGTTCAATTCTGCCACGAGGTGTCAGTGGGGGTTCCTGATGGCAGTCACGGTATATTCTGATTATATAATCAGTTATAGTATAATATGATCAGTTATATTCTGATTATATGATCAGTTATAGTATAATATGATCAGTTATATTCTGATTATATGATCAGTTATAGTATAATATGATCAGTTATATTCTGATTATATAATCA